GTATTGTCTTTATAATACTGAATTGAAAAAGCTGGTAATCATAACTAAGCACTAAACTCAAGGGTCATACAGTGCTGCAGGGTAGGGTGTGCTAAAGGTTTCATATACGGTACTTGATCCGAGACTAGCGAGGGAGGAGAGTATAACAGAGGTAGAGTTAGTAAGGGCGGTGTGAAGTGCTCGAGTAAGTATAATAAAAGTTTATGTAATAAATCTGTTGCTGTCAAAGTCAAAGAGGAAGTCCGAGTCAAATGTAGGGGTGTCAGCACAGAGAAGATAAAGTAAGGGTGTTAGAGCAGTGACGTCAGAGGTAAATTCTGCATGCTCGTTAGCAGACAGGACATTAACCCTTTCAGGGTCCAAGGCCAAAATCTGAAGTCACGCACCAGTGTCCAAGAATTTTAAAAAAAAAAAATGTTATTTTTTCTTATGAAATCGTAGAGAATCTTTTTGTGAAGGTAATAAAACAAAAAGTACGAAATTTGGTGGAAAATTGACGAAATTATGCTCTCGCGAATTTTGATGTAGTCAGTGATATTTACGAATCGGCGATTTTGCCGACTTTGACTCCCATTTTAGGTCAATTACATTATTCCAATCAACCAAATTCTTAGCTATTTCACTAGTATTACTTCTATTCTATCGATTGAGCACAAGAAATCGCCAAGGCAACTGTTTCAACTACAAAATAAAGTGATCGGAAATTGTTAATTTGGCCAATTTAACACAAAGTTCAAAATATTCCAATTTCAAAATAGGCTCCAGAATAAACAATGTAGGTATTCCTGGAACTAAACTAACATTTCCTCTGTTCATTAGTTACATTTTGAAGCTTTACAAATAAATTCCATTTTGATCTTTTATTCACATAATGAATTTTTATTCACACCAAAAAATAGAAGATTTACTGTTATGCAATACTGTAATAATTGTATAAATATCATCACCATATTTGTGAATGTATATTAGACCCACCAGCTGACGTGTATTAGATGTGTGAGGTCGTTTGTTTACTCTTGAATATCGGCAAAAATTTAACATTTCCACTACTTTGAGCTCAGTTTCAAGCCATTTCCAGTGCTAAAACCAATCAAAATCATCTCTATTTCTGTAATATGTCTTCCATTCTATCAAATGAGACCAAGAAATCGCAAATACAACTATAAAAAACATACGAAAAAACACTGCAAAGTCGCTGTTTTAATCGAAAAATCATGATTTCAGTTTTTTTCTCTCATTATACACAGTGTGCTGCAGGATCTGTTTTATGTGGTGCACACATACCACATAGATGTATTCTCTCATATCTAGGCCCAAATGTACCACTCACAGTTTATCAGAGTGAGCTGAGCTCATGGCGTAGATCTACGGTTTGGACACTCACCGTAAAGCCGTAGATCTACGGGACAGACCCTGAAAGGGTTAACAGAGTATGGCAAACTGGAACCTGACAATTCTCTGAGTAGAAATGGATGCCTCTCCACAAGATACCCATGGGTGAGATGTGTACCCAATGTGAAGATGTGGGACAGCATCGTCTCCCAACAACGTCGTCGATGAGACCAGAATCCTAAACATGGCTTGATAAAACAATTTGTTATGAATCAAACGAGACCATTGTTGCCAACGGCTGCAAAGGTGGCTAGATAATACATTAAAAGTCTGAGAATGGAATACACCTATATGAAATGTTAAACGTCATGTATCGCTGACCATGCAGCAGAGTTCTCCTGCTCATTGCCCTGAACATCCACATGACCAGGGACTCCACAGAAAACTATTTGTCTTTGCTAGAAATGTGGCACAACCAAAGTTGGATATAAACAACTAGGGGATGAGGTCAATTAAATTTTTTGATAGCCTGCAAAACACTAAAGGAGTCAAACTACCACAGTGTTGTTCTAGGCCTGGATGCAAGACATACAATCACTGAGAACTGCATGTAGTTCAGCTATGAAAATGCTAGTCGAGTCTAATAAATGACCTTGCACATCACTGTCTGGGAACAATGCTGCAAACCCGATACCATCAGAGAATTTAGAACTTTCGCTGTAAACTACAACTGCATGAGAATGAGGCTGGAAGTGGTTAAGAAAAAGGGGGCAAGAAGCAGCTGTAGATATTTGAGCTTTCGTGCATGCAGTGGGGAAGAACAGACGAACTGTTGGAACCTCCCATGGGGAAAGAAAAGTTAGATGCTGGATGAACATATAAGGGGGAGGACAAATGAGATGTAGAGTGAGAATACAAAGAAAAAGGGGATGGAGCAAATGGGGGTGGCAATCAAATAATGGATCTTTAGCAATGTCCATTACCATCCTGTATGTAGAAGTATCATGAGGGGGTCATGAGAGTGGACAAAATGATAGAGGCAAAGGGCATCAAGTCGATCAGTCAATGATGGAACATTCACCTCTGCATATAGGCTCTGAACAGGAAATGAACGAAAAGCACCTAGACACAAACGTAATTCCTAATGATGAATGGGAGTTGCACAAGTGTCTGCAGAATATATCTAGTCACCCCAATCTAGTTTCAATAAAATTACGGGTAAATGAAGTTGAAGGAGACTTTGATGATCCGTCCTCCAAGAAACATGGGCAAGGGTTTTAAGGAGGTTCAGCCGGCTATGCCAAGTTGCTTTCAGGGAGGTAATGCGAGGTTTCCCAAACAGCCGGTGATCAAACAGAAGACCGAGAAATCTGACCGTATCACGTTCAGGGATCCAGGAACCATACAAGTATAATGGAGTATTAGAGACAACAGAGCATTAGTAAAAGAAATCTGGTGCATTTTAATACCAGAAAATTTAAACACTACAATCAGTGGCCCAATGGGAAATGATATCAATCCAAAAGGGAATAATACTATAGATAGTGGAAATAAAATAGTTTGAGGTGATCAGTTGCTCAGCCTCAAAAGGTGTTCAGCTCATCGTAATGAAGTATTGATCGCCTCGAACAACTTTTCATTCATGTCTTCCATAAAGTCCAATATTTTCTGTGTAGGAGTGATAAAGTCACTGGAGTTTCTCCATAATAAAGATACCCAAATGTTTTTACAATATTGGTAAATGATACCAACAAGATTAGGATTCATCAAGACTAGGGTACTGAACACACTTCCAGGGACCCTGGCCTCAATTACTTAGTTTTACACAACAGCCACTGAAAGGGTTAAGGCATCCCCCTTGAAGAGACCAAACTCTTTAGCACATATTTGGTAAAAGATGCTCCATTTGCTTTGTGCATTAATAAACATTCCGTTTATCATTTATTTAAATCAAACATTAAAAACTGTGATAAAATTTGAAGTAAATTCTAAGTTATAAAATCAGTAGAAAAACTAATACATACCATAATATAAAATATTTTCTCAAAAACATTTCTTAGAATATCTATACAGGTTTTAGCTATAAAAATTTATACCATATAGTAATTATCACATATGTATGAAAGTGAATTAAGCACTTTACTGTATGTGCTATATAATGAAGCCAATTTCCTAAACTGATCAACTCCACACTCCTCTTTACCATTCAATACTATTATTCAGTGAAATCAGTCATCTTTCAAAAACTAAAAAATTTTGCACACTTACTTGATTTCAAGTTTTCATACTCTAGCTGACAACCTAAGGCCAATTAACCCTGATGGTTTTCCACTCAGCCAGGCTATTGTTGCCTGAAGCCAGCAAGACTATAAACTGGGTTACCAGGTGCCTCATGTAGACAGTCTTCCTGTTCCTAACAAGAAGCTTCTCCTAAATTACAGTACCTAACATGCAATTTTCCTAAACTAATTACCTAAACTCAAATACATCAATCTATTAACACCCTGGCATGAAATAATTTGGCTTCATAAGTTATTTTTTTTTGTTAAGCTTTCACATTTATTTTACAATGTTTATGCATAAATTCAGATTTTTCATTCCCAATATCTATACTAGGCACATTTTAACTAGAGCAACAAAATTTCTCAAACTCCAATGCACTTGTTCAAAAGCATCTCCTTTCTTCCCTAAAACACATTTACCCCTTAAACGAAGAGTCATTTCACTATTCACAACATCCCAAAAGAATGAAAAGGCACAATACCATGACTGGACCAATACACAAAACCTGCACATAAGAGCAGCAGCTTATGACGATTCATTCTGACTTGAACCACTTACAAGTCGCACTAACACACAGGAAGAGGGAACCAAAATATATAGGTGAGGGGGACAGGGACAAGACAAAGAGGAAGAAACACACCTAGGTGTTCTGGCCTTCAGCTCCCCCACCCCTTCCCCTCATTTTTTATTTAACCCCCTTGTGGGCCATTAGCTCTTCTGCAGTGCTCCTTTTTCTCATCCTTAGACTTACTCCACTTCTACTACCACTACCATCACCTCCACCCCCCCATTACTACTACTATTGCCTCATTTCACTCCTACTTTCTACTACCAGCATTACCTATACCACTACTTCTCCACTTCCTTCTTTCTTTGTCCCATCCCAGTCTCCTTACCCCCTTTGCCTCTACATACTGGCTCCCTCTACCTGTGTTAGTGTGACTTGTAAATGGTCCAAGTTAGACTGAAATATCATCACAAGCTTCTCTCTCTCTCTCTCATGTGGGTTGTGTATACAACATCCGCACTGTCTTAAGTTATTTCTCTGATCAATATACAATTCTATCTTTCCACTTTTGATGTCTTTAAACATTGAGATGAGCTTTGCTCTGGAACAGTTACCTGGCACAAATCCTCTTCGTGGTATGTCCAAACAAACACCCTATCTGCTGTTTTTTTTTTTTTAACACTACTTAAGCATTTCATTTATCATTCTACCCAAACAACTCTTTCAATATTAACATTACTTATTTCTTTTGAAATATTTTATAAAAGTATCAGCCTCAAAGTTCATGCCATATGAAAAGCACATTTTTAACCTCCAATACTTCTTAAGACTTAAAATAAAAAAAATAATATAATGGACAGGGCAAGAGAAAGACATCTTACAAGAAAAATACAAATAAATATTTCTGAGGTTCATTACAAAAATACTTGCTGAACATGCAGGAAAGCCTGTATGAAGGAACATTTGTATACATATATTTATACATACAAGTACATAATACATTTCCTAAGTAAACAGGTATAAAACAGTCATACAGTACATTATAGAGTGCTGCAAGAAAAATTAAAAACACAAAATTGTGTAAAAAAACATGCAGAAAAGACCTCAGCAAGAATAGGTTAAATATATCAGATAGATTAACATGTCCTAGGTATTAAGTTGGTAGACAGCAACTGCCCAGGGAGGTACTACCATCCTGCCAAGAGTGCAAAATGAAAGCCTGTAATTGTTTTATGTGATGGTAGGATTGCTGGTCTTTTTTTCTCTCAAACATGCAAGATTTCAGGTACGTCTTGCTACTTCTACTTACTCTTAGGTCACACTACTCTTGCATTTTTTTTTTTTTCAACAAACCGGCCGTATCCCACCGAGGCAGGGTGGCCCAAAAAGAAAAACGAAAGTTTCTCTTTTCAAATTTAGTAATATATACAGGAGAAGGGGTTACTAGCCCCTTGTTCCCGGGATATTAGTCGCCTCTTACAACACGCATGGCTTACGGAGGAAGAATTCTGTTCCACTTCCCCATGGAGATAAGAGGAAATAAACAAGAACAAGAACTAGAAAGAAAATAGCAGAAAACCCAGAGGGGTGTGTATATATATGCTTGTACATGTATGTGTAGTGTGACCTAAGTGCAAGTAGAAGTAGCAAGACATACCTGAAATCTTGCATGTTTATGAGACAGAAAAAAGGAGACCCGCAATCCTACCGTCATGTAAAACAATTACAGGCTTTCGTTTTACACTCGCTTGGCAGGACGGTAGTACCTCCCTGGGCGGTTGCTGTTTACCAACCTACTACCTAGGATTCTTGCATGTACAAGCATATATATAAACACCCCTCTGGGTTTTCTTCTATTTTCTTACTATTCCTTGATATTGTCTATTTCCTCTTATCTCCATGGGGAAGTGGAACAGAATTCTTCCTCCGTAATCCATGTGTCATAAGAGGAGACTAAAATACCAAGAGCAAGGGGCTAGTAAACCCCTCCCCTGTATACATCACTAAAGTTAAAGAGAAACTTTTGTTTTTCTTTTTGGGCCACCCTGCTTCAGTGGGATGCAGCTGGTTCGTTGAAAAGATTAACATGTGGAAATGTTAATCTGTTGCAGCACTGAACTTACTGCAAGTAAAAATAAATTTAGTTTGAAACAATGTGCACCTATTCTATCCACTTTTAGTAATAAGGTAAATGGATGACATAATACACACAATTTCACAATTAGGTTTGATGGTAGATTCTTATATACAAACTAATACCTATAATAAAACTGGTTTATGAATCTTAATATAAGCAGTCCAAAAATAAAGTTTGATATTCATAGCATACAAAATTAATAATCATGTAAAAAAAAAAAAAGCCAAAATATAACTATGGAAGAATGAGCAATTTTTTTTTTCAACAAGTCGGCCATCTCCCAGTGGGGCAGGGTGACCCAAAAAGAAAATTCCCAAAAAGAAAATACTTTCATCATTCAACACTTTCACCTGACTCATACATAATCACTGTCTTTGCAGAGATGCTCAGATACAACAGTTTAGAAGCATATATAAAGATATATATCATATCCCTCTAAACTGTCAATATCCCAAATCCCTCCTTTAAAGTGCCGTCATTGTACTTCCCATTTCCAGTGCTCAAGTCCGGCTATATAAATTATTAATATTATAATCAAAATGAAGCGCTAAGCCACAAGGGCTATACAGCGCTGCAGGGTAGGAAAGGAAGCGAGGGTATTGGGCAGCAGAAGGGGAGAGGGGCGATTAGTAGGTTACAGAACCGGCTATATAAAAATAACCAGTTTCCCTGAATTCCTTCACTAAATATTACCTTGCTCACACTCCAACAGCTCGTCAGGTCCTAAAAACCATTCATCTCCATTCACTCCTATCTAACACGCTCACACACGCTGGCTGGAAGTCCAAGCCCCTCGCCCACAAAACCTCCTTTATCCCCTCCCTCCAACCTTTTCGAGGACGACCCTTACCCCGCCTTCCTTCACCTACAGATTTACACACTCTCCAATTATTTTAAATATTTACAATCTATCAAAACCGAAGAAGTTTTCTTCCTTCAGGAAACTTTCCTTCCTTAGAAAGGGAAGGTGCAGAATGTTCACTTTCAAGTATTCAAAAACTGAAGTACCTGAAACATTTACAGAAACATGTTGACATACTAGCTTTATCGTCATTTAACTGAAAAAAAGTCACCAACTGCATGAACTATCTGAACATAAAAATAAAAATAGCAAGCTGAATGGCCAGATAAGCCACAAATGTTGGAAAAGTTCTTTTGCAGAATAAGGTAGTGAAAAAAATTGAGAGAGATAACAGAGGTACACTCAATTCATGGATTCAGAAGATATGATACTGCAGACCTAAAGGCTAGGAATCAACTGCACTACTCAAATATAAGTTGAGCAACTGGACCAGAATTTGAAGCCCAACCACTTCAAGTACAATTATCACATAATTATAATCAAATAAAACCCTAAACTGTGAAAGGTCTACAATTATTTATATACAGTAAAATTTATATTAGGTAACAAACAGACTGCTAGTTATGAATACTTAGCAAATTACACTACCAATGACTAATATGCAATACTTTGTAAAAAAAAATTTTTTTTTTAGCATATAATCATACTTTAAGTTATGGTGTAGTCCATCTAACAGGGCTTCATACTATGTATACACAAGTCACAGTATAATTAAAGTAGGCACTTGATGATTCAGGAATAGTCAAGAAAACTATGGCAGTCATACAGTGCTGGGGAAATGGAAAGTAATCAGGTTAGATCTATAGAAGGGAAGGGTACCTCTAATTCTTTGTATCAAAATACCTTGGCTGGCCTCAAGGGAAAGCTTTTAAATTATGTTAATCTATGACCTATTGAGGAGTGAATTTCCTTTGGAACTATGAAATAAAATCTAAATATGTAAAGTAAAAGGACACAAGTGCAACTAATGTGACATTTTACTGTGGCAACGTTTCGCTCTCCAGGAGAGAAACATTTGTATTCTTTGTAATGGCTTTATAAAGCTCCTGGAGAGCAAAACGTTGCCACAATAAAATGTCACATTAGTTGCACTTGTGTCCTTTTACTTTACATATTGTCAGTAATTCTACCAACTTTATTACAAAATCTAAATACTTTTACAACACTTCAAATCCTTAAATTGGCTGTAGGCATTCCTTTAGAATCACTGAACAATCTTAGGATACATTGTCTAATTTGTCAGCACGGATCTTGTCACAATTCATGTAACCTGAGTTCTCAGCATTAATCATCTTTTTATAGAAACTATACACAGTCATATTTGCATTAATATAAACAAGTATGGCAGTATACCCCATCCAAAACAAGAACTTGTCTCATTTATCCATATGAAGATTCATATTTTGAACCAAAAATAATGGAACATGGAGAGAAAACTTATTACAGATGTTTTGCCCATGTAATGGGCTTCATCTAGTCCACTACACGAGCAAAATATTGCGTATAATTATTTCTTCTGTAAAAAGTGTTCCTCTATCATATTTGTCAGCAATACCTGACACTAAATTGGAAATTGCTGTTTAATGTAAAACTTGTGTGATAGGTGTCACTGTATACACATGCCAAACTCAGAATTCCAATAACTAAATTCATTTGAAATAAAGGTTATGATTATAAAAAAAAAAAAAAAAAGCCTGCAAATAAAGCCTAAGGTTGAATGAACACTGAGCAAATTTCACATGGGTCATTCCATGTTAAGTGAACCAACAGTCCCCACCAGACCATCTCGTATTCACCTGAAAATTTACTCAAAATGTGCAAATATGTGTATATATGTATATATACACATATGGGTCATTCCATATCCACTTGACATGGGATGACTCGTACACCGACTAAGATCCTGAACAGATCCCTTTCCCCTTCTCCACCAAAAATGAATGATCTTGAGAACTTGCATTAAAATTTCAAATTTACATGAATAAGTGGAAAAACTGATGCATACAAATTAACATACAAAATATAGTTTGTTAAATTTATCATAAATTCTTGATTTAATGCTTCAGTGCAACACTACCCATTCCATGCATGATAGACAATAGCTAAAACAATGATTATTACACTGTACTATAATTATAATCAGGAAGCAGAACTGATAAACCCACAGGGGTCATAAAATGCATAGAGAGTAGATGACAACCAGGTTCAATCCAAGGTAGAGGAAGGTAAATTTACTTCCTTGGATCAAGAGCCCCTTACCAAGAGCCCTTGATTGTACTACAATCTGTCTTGTTGGCTGGGAATAACATTAACATACTCTGCCAAAACATCACCAAGCTCACAAGCTGCTTCAACAATACCACCATCTGTTGATACCACCTTTGGATCTGCCGGGAAGAGTTGAAGAAATGTGTATTGATTTAAAAATAAAAGGCATAGTGGTAAAATGCAATATAGCCAGTAAAACGGCAAAATGAATACAAGGCTAAAGTGCAAACTGGATGAAAAGATGTGCAAAGCAAGCATTTTTTATAATTACAATAAAAACTTCTCAGAAATATGTACAATAATTTACAATAGCAAAATTCTAAAGTACTCACTGTCTGATTCCGAAAACGGAAATATTTGGTCTAGTTGCCGCATGATAGCTTCCAGCTCCTCCCTGACATCCCTTGTGACATCATGTGTCCCAGCATTTGCCCTACTCATTTCAAATGATGGCATTCTTGGGGAAATTTCCGAGGAAGCTGGAGCAGAGGTCAAAGAAGTCAAGTCACTGAAATTGACCTCTGTGAAGCTGGGTAGCCTTGATGGTTGCAAAGGAGCTTTTAAGCTCCCAATGTCTGCAGCAAAGAAAAAATAAAATGTCATTGTGAGAAATATTGCAAAATGACAAGGTACAGAACTGAAACTATTAAAACATTTAAATATCTTCTTTCACACCAACAAAAAACATCAGCAATATTACAGACATTTCCTTATAAAACTTTTTTCAGTGTAATTAGTTAATGGTCCAAGTCAGACCAAAACATCACAAGCGTTTTCCTCCCATGTGTGGGTTGTGTACTTTTCCATTGTTATGTCATTCAATTTTAATTCCTAATCTTCTCAATGCTTCAAGATTTCAGACTAACACTGCAATTCCCATATAATTATAGCAAATAGAAAAAACCTAGAATATAAGACATGCTGTAGAGTATTCTCCTATACAGCAAAACTTGTTCACCTCACCTTGAGCATAATCTGGCTGACCATCAGGAAAGGAGGATGGGAAGTTCTTTTGATGTGGTGTGAAGGGTGCTCTAATGGGATGAACATTTGAAATGCCTTTGATGGTATTTTCTCTAGGGTTCTCTAC